GAGTCACACTTAATGAAGTAATCTAGGGGTACGTCTACACTATCTGCCAGATCGGTGGGTAGTGATCGATCTATCGGGGATCGATTTATCGCGTCTAGTGTAGACACGATAAATCGATCCCCGATCGCTCTGCCGTCGACTCCGGAACTCCACCACGGCGAGAGGTGGAAGCGGAGTCGACGGGGGAGCAGCAGCCGTTGATCCCGTGCCGCAAGGACGCGAAGTAAGTGATTCTAAGTCGATCTAATATACGTCGACTTCAGCTATGCTATTCTCGTAGCTGAAGTTGTGCATCTTAGCTCGAACCCCCCCCCCCCACACACACACACAGTGTAGACCAGGCCTAGGACTCTGATATGCTTAGCATGCTTCAAATACAACATTATAGTATTTAATGTAATAGTTTTTTAATTAAATAATTTTGGGAGTAAGAAACATTTTTTCCTGGGTATATAAAATGTGCATAATGATTTAGTAACTAGTTGTATTTCAGTAGTTCCTAAAGGATCTGCTCTAAATCAGGGCTTCATTATGTTAGGTCTATATATAGATATATTAAGAGATTGTTTCTGCCCTGAAGAGCTTACGAGCAAAATAGATAAAACAGACAAGAGACATTATTGTGGAGGTTTTACTGATGGAAAACTAAGGAACTAAAAGATTTAAATGACTTGCCCAAGATCCCACAGGAAGTCTGGCAGAGACAGGAAGTGAGCCCAGATCTCAAGATCACATCTTTCCTCTCTACGTTGTGACCTAAGGTTCCATTCCATTTAAATCTCTCATAACTTCTCAGGAAAATTCCTTGTTGCCACTTTGTGAGATGTTCCCTCTTGTGACAATCTTCTCCCCACCCTCCTGACTGCCTGTTTCATAGATCAGCTCTCGTCTCCTGCCCCATCCTGTTGTTCAAGGCTGTCAAATTCATTGGAGAGGAGTTGGGGCATCAGTCTACTCTGTTTTATCATCAGGCAACCTTTGCTGCCCAGGCCCCCTGTTGTTGTCATATGCCAGATTGTGTTGTCAATGTGAGGCTTCCTAGCAAGGAAGGTCCTCTTCCAGAAATGTAATACAGGCTTTTTAAAATCAGTGCACGTATCCAAATGTTGCAGTAGCAATATAGCAGGTTGTGTGATTTCTGAATGGAGAGAAACAGAGGGAGCTCTCTTTGGGGGAGGGGCTCCTCAAATTCCTAAAACTAATACATTTTTAAAAGACCAAGATTGATCACTTACCCACATTGACCCTCACTTTAAAAATGCAAAAGCAGAGTTAGCAAAAATTCATTCCAGTTGCACTTCAATTCACAATATAAGCTCCTTTTCAGAAAGGTGGCCACCTATATGGAATATGCGTATGAGCACTTACTCTCATAGTGATCTGTTTGCATATGCAACTGCTGGATTTGTACACAGAATTTAGGAATCTAGTTTTGAAAAGCTGGCCCAAATATATGAGTAGAACTAGGCAAAACTACTTATTCTCTGTAGAGGGTGTCATGGCCGTAAAATAAATTATAATTTTTAATGCTGTGGGGTCTCTCCTTTTTAGAGCCTATTGTGTATCATAGATTGATAAAACACAGGTTGTGTTCTGACATACTATTTATTTTCCCATGGTTTTTGAGGATGTCTGATTTTTTTTGAGTATTCTTTAACAGTCTGTTGGTATCTCACAGGATTTGCAATCACTTCTGTTTATTTAAATACCATTTACAGCTGGAAGTGTTTGTTTCTTCTTTTTAAAGACTTGGGATTTTATCAACTATAAGTCTGTAAACTCTGCTGTCCAGTCATCATTTTGAATCTGTTTATAGAGGACTAAGCAGTTTGCTACTTTTTTAAAGTTATGCTATTGGAAGCATCATAAACACTGAACGTTTTGCAGCATTCTCTATAATTTATTCTATGTTTAAAAAACATAGAAGAATTCCTTGGTTATTCTTGGATCGTGTGTAATGTTGCTGCTATTGTCATTATTTAAAGATTTATATTGGATATGCTGATAGAATAAAAATAGTTTTTGTTCTCAGTTTTCAGCTTCATTAGCCTTCAGACTTCCCTGGAAATGCTGCTTCCTTATACTTGAATACATTTTTAATATAAAGTGGGTACTCCCTGGGTATCTGGTTTTGAGCATTCCCAACAACACTGTTGGAGCCAATGAGATAGCCTTTTCTTTTCAGATTACTTTATAAAGGAGTATATCATAAGTAGATTGATTGTGTAATCTCTTACATGTAAAATAGTTTTATTCCCTGCATTGCATGTCCTAAGCCAAAATCTTTATTGCCTGCAAGATGTGTTATGCAACAAAAGATGAGGACTTGCAGAAAATAAAATGACTTGAGTTAAAATAAATATTTATTAAGTCATGTTAGTAGTAGTGTGATAGTGCTGAAAATATGCTCGGCGCTGTGCAGGAAAAGGCAGTCCCTGCCTTGAAGATATTTGTCTGTTAGCTGAAAATCCCTAGTGAAGACCAGAAAGCCAATATTTGCACTGGTGAAAATCGTTTTGCTTGAAGTTGTAATAAACTCCACCAGTGGAAATAGTAGCTTTGACTGACTATATTAGAGGTGTGCTAGTGCAGCTACATTAGTGGCTGGCCACTGATAGCTGTAAATGAGGCTAGTCCCCAGTCTACACATGGCCTAAAAAGAAGATTAAACAGATGAAGTGTGGGGAAAAGGGATATACCATGCAATCAAAATGCTCATGATGAAAATGAGTATTCATCTCGTTAGTTCCACAGTTTTCCTGTTTGTTTTAGATAGAAACAATCTGCAACTGCCTCTCCAGCTGTTTTTTAATTCCTCATCTAACCCTCACCCACAGTCTCACAATTACATGAAGAATTATTTTTCAAACCCACTGAAATCCCACCTAAACTGTCTCCTTATCCATGCTTGCCTATCTGACCTCCCTTAAATCAGCAAACCTAGGTTCTTGTCCCCCTCCTGCTTCTTTATTGGAATCTTCCTCTTTCCACAGTCAGCCCCGGCCTTTGACAATCCTCTGTTGCAACTCATTTTTAATTCCGGTTTATAAAAATTCCCTATCAGGTAAAACCACAACTTATTACGCTTCCTTAAAATCTACCCTTCTCTCCCTCCTGATCTCCTTCCCAACCAAACCCTGTGCCCATAAAACATGGTGAGCCTGAGTTTTATTTCTGTTCTTAGTACACTTCCCTCGAACAGCCAGGTCTTTCCACTGTGCGAGTTTCCTTCCACTCCAGAATTCTTGCCTGGGGTGGGTAGTGTCTTGGACACTATGCTGCATTGTGTGGGATATGGGGGGTGGGTTCAAACAGTACCATGTCCAGAGTTCAAATTTTGAAATGAAGCTGTGATGTACTGGGCTCTGGGGCCTCAGTGGCACATTGCTTCTCTACTGCCTGTTGCTGAGAGCAATCAGGGAAGGCCTCTCCTCAATATGGCCCAGGAGTCTGGAGGGAGGGTGAGGGTGTGTAAGAGGGGGACTCTTGTGCCTTGGAGAGGGAGGTCCAGACTAGATGCTATCCTCACCAGAACTACTACTCTGCAGCTCAGGAAGTCTCTCCTGAGATGGGGGGAAGGGAGGGGAATTTTGGAGGGGTATATTTCTTCACTGTTGTATTTTCTCTGATAGTGGATTGATTTAGTACTCATACCTGCAAACAAATGTTAACATGGGTGAAAGCTGTGTTTGTAGTCTCATAGGCTCCCACTTTACTCCTCAGAATTGCATCTCTAGTTATCTCTAACACATTAGATCAAATACTTTTTTTAAATGAGCTAGTAATTATAATGGTGGTCTGACCAATGCAACTTTCAAACCTTGCTGTAAAAGATTATCCTTTTTTTTTTTTTTTTTTTAAAAGGTGTTTCTTAATTGGTGCAAAAATCACTGCATAAACAACTGACTGTTGCTTTCCTTTTGATACTGTTTTGCCTTCAGTATTTAGTTTCTTAATATTGAAAGTAATCATTGGTAATCTTAATCTCCCAGTTTCTCCTGCAAATATAAGCAGCATTATCCTCTGTGTTCTGAAACCAGGTAGCTTGAAGTTAAGCAATCTAGGTCTCATCTGGAGGTAAAGTTGCTATGGCTAGAACTTGATATTTCTGATTTTTTTTCTCATATTTTTATATTAAAAAGTAAAAACAACCTACAAAAATGTTTTATGCTGTATATACCATAAAGGAGTAGAAAAGGGTGCACAGATTTTCCTTTGTAGTTCACCTTTAAACTATCAAGTGATATGCAGTAAAGTCTCTGTGCTTTAAGAGGTCCATAAGAATATTTATCATAAGAAACAAAGTAGAATTGAGAAATGTCCTGATTTTATATGGAACTTTATAGGTCAAATTACTTCACTATTTCCAGTCATATTTACTGGGAGAAGTAAAAGGCATCAGAAGGGCCATATAACAATAAGTATTCAAAACAAATCACAGACAAAAGCTAGGTAAATTTTCCTGTATAAAGATTTAAGCATAGAATATTGTGTAGCAAATTGCTTAATAAAGAATTGAAAGCCAACTTTGAGAAAACCACATATTGCATGTTGGTGCTGTAATCAAGTAATACGTTCATATGATTGTTCTGTTTAAATGTTTTATTGCAACATTTAGTAAAGAACTTTCGTTATGATGGATAAAAATCTCCCTAGTTTAAGATATGGCCCCAATTTTGCAATGAGCTCTACATAGATTGACTTTCTCTTTGCCCACCCTCTCCCACACCATTGAAGTTGATGTTGTTGAGCATGCTATGCAGGGGTCCAGCTGTGTGGGTCTCACTGCAGGATCTGAATTTGTGTGTAAGTATGCGCTAAGCATTCATTATAAATATTTTATGTATTTATAACACAGTTGGGCAGTGCTGAAGAGATTGCAACATATGCTACCATTTCTTAAGTTATTAAGTAAATTAAAACTAATTCTGCAGGAATTTTGTATTTTATGGTACAAAAACATATTGTCCTTATTTAACTTGTGCTGTCTTTCTTTGCAGGTGGATACACGGAGCATACCAGTGTTAGCAAAGTGGCAAAATTCTTATAGCATTAAAGTTGTACTTCAAGAGCTAAGACGTCTAATGATGTCCAAAGAAAATATGAAGCTTCCACAACCTCCAGAAGGACAAACTTACAGCAATTAATTTTAGCTGATTCTCAAACTTCTGTCTTAAAACAACAACCTTCTACTCATATTAATGTCTTGATTAAATCTCACAATGCAAACCACCCACACATTAAAAGAATTTCAGCTGGTATACATGACCTGGACAGTTGTAAGAATATATATATAATATATGTACGCCCAGTATGTTTTTAGGCACTATGGGAGGAAAAAAAGGCAGCACAATTTATTTTTTTTCTCTTATCAAGACACTGTCATTTAAGCATAAGCCTGAAGTAGCTTAAAATTGAAATTCAGGTTTTACAAGATGAAAGCATGACAGAAAGTGTCAGATTGCTGTGGATTAATGTATGTTTCAGAAAATTAATCTCTCCAGAAGAAAAATTATAAATGGCATGCTTTACCCATCTGGCTTAGTAAAAGAGCTGCAGTTAAAATTGTTTTAAAGTAGCAGGTAAAGTGAATACTGTTGCTCATCTTGTTTAATTTTGCTAAGGTGTGGGTGCCGACTACTATTAGTGTCACAAAGTATGTTCAGGATTGTTTTGATACCTGTATTTATAAAAGGGGGGAATGGATTCTGTTAAGCGGCTCCTGTGTGTTACATGTAATGGACATGGCAAATATTTGTTTACAGTCTTTGTTCTAATAAACAATGCATTTAAGTTTTAGTGAAACAAACAAAGGAAATAGGTGTATGGATATGTGATTGAGATTAAAGTTAGTCTTAAAATGTAAATAAAATGTGGAAAGTATCCTCTGAGGCTGTGCCATTTCTATAATAATGTAATATATGTATAGTACCTTGCAGAGGTAGCAAAAAGTTAAACACAATGTAGCAGTGGGTCTACATGCACCTTTTATTCTTACCACTATTTCTATATGCTTATTTTATTTGATAACTGAAGGTATTGGGATTATTGCAGAGGAGCAAATTCCATAATCTGCAGTTACACTTTTTTGGACAAACTTGCAGTTCAAAACCCTTTTAAAAAAAATATTTTAAGTATTCATTCTAGAAATGACATTAACTAGGCCACTTAGCCTAAGCAACTCCAGAGCAATTTCCAAACTGGACTGCTGAAATTCTGTCCTGCTTCTGTCTTTTCATCCTTGAAACCATCTTCTGCAGCTGCTACCTTGTTTTTCCATGTCACGTTTTTTCCCTCTGCACTTTAACCGCTTTTTTTAAATCTTCAAGCTAGTTTCCTTTTTGTTCTGTCTCACTTTCTCCTTACCCCAGCGACACATAAGTGAGAGACGTCAGGCCTTATCATTTTTATTAAAACCTCTTATACTACTGTTAAGAACTGTGTGGACATGCCGTATTTAGCCATCTGCATTCTATGCTTCAAGTGCCAGTGGCGCAATCTCATTGGTTAGAATGATTTCTGCCCCTTCAACAGTGAATTCTCCCCCTTCTAATTTTACTTATTCCTTTCTCACTATAGTTGTAGTTGGTGACATCCATGGGTTAGTTCTGCTATAGGTTTCTCAATGTTGTTCATGTTACCTTACTGGAAATGAGACACTCTAATCTCTTGTGTGGAAAATGCAAAGATTTGTCCAGTTTACTAAAACAAATTGTAACCTTGGGACTAGGTCAGTGACGTGTTATTCAAAACTTCATCAGTAATTCTCTTGGAAAAATGAATTTAATCAAAAGTCATCAACAGCCAGGGAACTTTCAACTTTGGTATCCTTATTGCCTATCCCTAATATGACGAAAAAATTGTAAGAAAAGCAATAAACTAAGCTTTATTATTTTTTTTTAATAGAAAGTTTTAGGTGGTGGTTGTCAGTAGAGGAAGGCTGTATTTGAGAGTCCTTAAACACATCTGACACATTTCCAGAGTTCACTCAGTGAAATGATAGCTGTCAGCTACCTCATGTCCATGTTATGTAACACATCACAGTATATGACGGAAAATTTGACTGAAGTGATTTTACCACTATGTATTCCTATTCCCTAATTTTAAATTAATTTAGATGTTTTGGATTCCACTAAATAAAATTTCATTATGCTAGCACTGCTAGTCTATATGTAATCTATTAAAATAGAAATGGAACTATTCAGTTCTGAGAAATAAATATTCACTTTCAGGAATCTCTCTTTAGATTAAACAACTGGAAGAGATTGAGATACATTGCCAGACTGTCATATGGTTGGTGACAAGATTAACAGACGACTAGTGTGAGTGTGGAGCCATTGAGAAACTCTCACTCTTCACTGAGTCGCTGAATATAGAAAAGTGTTGGCTTTCTGTTTGCACCACATGTTGTACAAGTTAACTGTGCAATGTCTATTCCTCCTCGTCTGTTCTTTGATTATGGATCTCTGTGGAAATCTGCATGCCAGTTTCAGTTTTTGAGAGCAAGATCCATTTTGCATGTTGCAAACAAGCTGCACTTGATTTTCAAATAGACACTCTGGTTGTACAAAGGGGTAGCTACAAAACCACTCATAATAATGAAATCTAAGCAGGGCAATTTTGAAGCAATATCCCCTTGTCCTATTGAAAAAAGGCCAGAGTTGTAGAAGTGTATAGTTTATCATTAAATAAACTCTTAAAATGGCCATAGATTATTGTACATAGGTCAATAGGTGAGACCCTTAAGGATGATTTCCTACTATTAAAGGATTCAAAACATAACTGCTTGTCCTCCAATTAGGTCACATTATGATTTGATAAGTCCAGTTTTTTGTCTGGTAATTTATTTTCTGTGCTTTTTTGGGGTTAACTGTTTAAACCAGGTTTTAAAAAATGTATTACTATGTTAGTATTATGATATAACAGGATTTTTAAGCATGGGTTTCCAATGGTTAGTGGTTTGTAATTTAATAAAGAAGTTTGTGCTTTTTTTGTAAGTACAATACTAGAGTAAATAGAGCACCAATTTAAACCAAACCACGTGGGGGAGAAAAATCAAAACCTCCACATGTAGCGCATTTTCAAATTATGTTGGAGAATTGGTATAATAGAAGTGATCTTTAACTGGAATTTAAACTTGTGCTGTACTCTGATACCTAGCAAATGTGCTAAATTAAATTCTGCTGGGTAAATGCATAACAGGAGAAAAATTTACATATGTTGTATTAATTTCATGTATTGTAGTGACTTACTGTTTAAAATTTAATGAGCTGCCCTTTATTTCTACTACCTGTGCTATTTATAATATTCTGTATTCTTTTACATTTTGCAAGAAAGTGCAAAGTATTAATATAAGGCCTGATCCTGCAACATGCCTGGCACACTCAAATCCCCTTAAAGTCAATGGTATTTGAGGATGTGTATGTAGCACCTTGCAGGGTTGGGACAAGAGTGAGAGTCCTTGGGATATGGATGCCCAGCCAGTCTTAAATGTTCATTGTTACTGTGAATACATGTAAAAATTATGATTAGGGCTGTCGATTAATCACAGTTAACTCACGCGAGTAACTTAAAAAAAAATGAATCGTGATTAAAAAACTTAATCACAGGTTTAATCATACTGTTAATAGAATACCAATTGAAATTTTAATAAATATTTGTGGATGTTTTTCTACATTTTCAAATAGTGATTTCAATTACAACACAGAATACAAAGTGTACAGTGCTCATTTTATATTATCATCTTTGATTACAAATATTTGCACTGTAAAATGATAAACAAAAGAAATAGTATTTTTCAGTTCACCTCATACAAGTACTGTAGTGCAATTTCTATTGTGAATGTACAATTTACAAATGTAGATTTTTGTTTGTTACATAACTGCATTCAAAAACAAAACATTGTAAAACTTTAGAGCCTACAAGTCCACTCAGTCCTACTTCTTGTTCAGCCAGTTGATAAGACAAACAAGTTTGTTTACATTTACAGGAGAGAATGCTTCCCGCTTCTTATTTACAATGTAACCAGACAGTGAGAACAGGCATTTGCATGGCACTTTTGTAGCCAGCATTGCAAGGTATTTACATGCCAGATATGCTAAACATTCATATGCCACTACTGGCTTCGGTCACCATTCCAGAGGACATGCTTCTATGCTGATGATGCTAGTTAAAAAAATAATGCATTATTTAAATTTGTGACTGAAATCCTCGGGGTGGGGGAGGATTGTATATCTGCTCTGTTTCACCTGCATTCTGCCATATCATTCATGTTATAGCAGTCTCGGATGATGACCCAGCACACGTTCGTTTTAAGAACACTTTCAGTGCAGATTTGACAAAATGCAAAGAAGGTGCCAATGTGAGATTTCTAAAGATAGCTACAGCACTTAATCCAAGGTTTAAAAATCTGGAGTGCCTTCCAAAATCTGAGAGGGATGAGGTGTGGCGCATGCTTTCAGAAGTCTTTAACGAGCAACACTCTGATGCGGAAACTACAGAAACCGAACAACCAAAAAAGAGAATCAACCTTCTGCTAGTGGCATCTGACTGAGATGATGAAAATGAACATGCTTTGGATCATTATTGAGCAGAACCCACCATCAGCATGGACACATTCTCTGGAATGGTGGTCGAAGCATGAAGGGGACATATGGCATGTAAATATCTTGCGACACCAGCTACAACAGTGCCATGCCAAACACCTGTTCTCACTTTCAGGTGACATTGTGAACAAGAAACGGGCAGCATTTTCTCCTGCAAATGTAAACACACTTGTTTGTCTGACCAATTGGCTGAACAAGAAGTAGGACTGAGTGGACTTGTAGGCTCTAAAGTTTTACATTGTTTTATTTTTGATTGAATTTTTTTTGTACATAATTCTACATTTGTAAGTTCAACTTTCATGATAAAGAGAGAGGTGAATTGAAAAATACTGTTTCTTTTGGTTTTTACAGTGCAAATATTTGTAATCAAAAATAAAGTGAGCATTGTACACTTTGTATTCTGTGTTGTAATTGAAATCATTATATTTGAAAATGTAGAAAACATCCAAAATATTTAAATAAATGGTATTCTATTGTTTAACAGTGCTATTAATTGAGATTTTTTTTTAATTGCTTGGCGGCCCTAATTATGATTAATGGAGTGTGTGAGTGACATGCGGCCAACATTACAATGCAAGTAATGTATTTTGCCCAAAAACCAAATTGTAATCTACAATAAGATAAATATTTGGATTATTAATTGGATACTTTTAAATGTGTGGGGGTTTGATTTACTTAGGTGGAAATGTATTTCCCCACTGCAACAGCCTCTGGGAACATTTAAGTAATCAGAACAATAGAGCAAATATGTGGGACCTGATTCTCTGCTTAAACACTGCTGCAAAGGGACTGTAAAACTGACCACCTGAGAATTCTACCAGTATAGAGGCAGTTTAGAAGCTGTACACTAGCCCCTTGCAGCTCCTGATGTAGGCAGTATGGCCAAAATATGTCTACACTCTTGCTAATCTCAGCTGCAAAGGTACTGCAAAGATTGCTTAAAGCTAGCTTTGGCCTATCTCCTCCGTTTGTTCAGGTCCCACACAAAGTGCATTCCAGCCAGACCCTCAAAAGGGCCATAATATTTTGATAAAGTATTCATAAGAAATGCGGCTCTAAAGAATCTGTTTTCAAAATATTCTAGGAATTTAGGAATTGCCATATCAGAAGGGGGCAATGGTCCATTTTAGTCCTCTCCAATAATAAATGCTTCAGAAGGATTTTTCAAGCCCCCGAAATGTACCTCAATAGCCTGAGACAGGCATGCACACTTTTTTCTGAACTGCTTTGGTGATCACTTTATTCTCTAAAACAGGGGAGGCAACCTATGGCACGCGTGCCGAAGGCGACACGCGAGCTGATTTTCAGTGGCACTCACACTGCCCGGGTCCTGGACACTGGGCCAGGGGGCTCTGCATTTTAATTTAATTTTAAATGAAGCTTCTTAAACATTTTAAAAACCTTATTTACTTTACATAGAACAATAGTTTAGTTATATATTATAGGCTTATAGAATGAGACCTAAAAACGTTAAAATGTATTACTGGCATGCGAAACCTTAAATTAGAGCGAATAAATGAAGACTCGGCACACCACTTCTGAAAGGTTGTCGACCCCTGCTCTAAAACATGATGCTTGAAAACTTGTGTTTTGTATCACAAGATGCTCCTTGGCATGCCTGCTGAACAATTTTTTGTACATTTCAGACTTTCCTTTTCTGTTGCAGACCTGATTGGTTTTGGGCTGAAATGACCCAAGGCATACATCATGTCCAAATGTTGAAAACATAAAAGTAACTTATGTATGCTTCCAACTTGGGAGAAAATACAGGAAAGGATCACATATGGCCAAGGAAAGACTATACCTTTTATTAGTTAATATTCAACCATGCCCACTAAAGGTGTTTTGCATTTCTATTTTTATCTTTTTTGATACACTAATATTACCCTTTCTATAAGAATGAATGTGATGTGGTTAAAATCAGCAACTTTTTTATTTTGGTGGTGGTACCATTATTTATTTTAAAAAAATAGTGTATTTAACGCATCTGTACCCTTGAACTATGTAATGCTAAACTGTTACAAATGAATATAAAGTTAATTTCATTCTATGGATTAATAAGTATGTCATACCTGCTCTTTAAGTAGCATCCTCCTATTTAAGTAGTTTCATTGATAATGTTTTAATTTCGTTAGCATTTTAAAAAATGATGAAATGTAAAGCAAGATCACTTTTATTATTTATGCTGTTGTCAAACTCTATAAACAGATAACCTAATGGATGATGGTGAGAGAGTGCTTGATTAACCATTATTTGGGATTTCCTGATGTTAAGTGCTAATGCATTTTTTCTATACTAATTGATGACTTTCCATCATTTCTTATGGAAACAACCCAACCTCCTGCTTTTAATATATACAGTATGTATAATATATAAACATGGTTTGTAGTGTGTATATATACTGTACATCACAGATAAAAATGCATGTTGTATATCATATTTACCCCAAAATACCCCTAAGGAGGAGTTATGTAGACATAACCAAGGAAGATGTTTTCATCAGCTGCATTCTGTGTGTATTTTTTTCTCTCCACAGTGATTCTTAAGTTATGGATATATAAGTAAGTAATTTAGTATGTTGGGTGTTTTCATTATGTGATAGGGACATTCAGAGGGTATGTAACTTTTAAAAAAATGCATCAGTGGAAGAAAATAAAAGGTAGACTGGTTCCCTCTTGTTTTAGCTGGATAAAGATTCTCTAGGAAGTGAGCCTGGTGGCTGTAAAGGCAGCTGTTACTGCCTGGACAGTCTTCATTGAGAAGACATTGAGTTGAATCTTATGCAACAGACCTGGAAAATTCAATTTCTGTCATCCAAGATTAAGAAGAATGTAATACTCTGTACCTAGGATGAGCAGCTGAAAAAAGTAGAATTATGGAATTTTGCAGCTTTTGCCCTAGAGAGAACCCAATCACATGAGGTGGCATCACTGATTTTTTTTTTTTTTTTAAGAAATATGGTGCCCAGCGGCCTCTGAAGGCCTTATATCCCTTGTGGAAGGCAAAAAGTTGGTTAGGAAGCAAAACTCCAAAACACAACTTGCAAGATTGGGCCTAATAACCTGTGGATTTCTCACAGTAAAAAATGAATATCCTGAAAGTAGCAAAATCATAAAACAAAATTGTTACAGGGGTGTAACTTGTGTGTTCGTATCCAAACTATTTAACTATCTTTGACAAATAAAGTTTTTTTGATTGAATTTCAGTCAACTCTGAGATGGATATTTTTGGCAGCAGTTCAGTATTCAGCCATATTTTAAAGGAACATACCTATTTTTTGAGGGTTTTTTGTTTTTTTGTCTTATATATAGATACACTGGTCAGTTTTGCACATTTCAGGAAGATCCTGACATTGGGGGTTGCAGGTATCTGGAGTAGAGGTCATTGGTGGTGGGCTGCCTTTAAGGGGAGCCCTGTTTCCTGTGATATAGTCTGCTTGTGTGTGTTTCAAAGGAAAAAGTAAAGCAATTCTCAGTGTTGGATTAAAGGTCTTCTAAATAGGCTGTTCTGTGGCTCTAGACTGTGATAAAATGGGTATTTGAATTCCCTCATTCTGATGCACCAGAAAAGTAGTGCATTCTATTTGTGGCACCTCATTAAAATAACTCCTTTAAATGTTTTCCCCTGGCAGAAGGAGGTTAAATACTTAATGTATCATGTTTGCTGAGGATGGACAAAAATGCATATGTGAAATGAGAGAGAGAGAGAGAGAGAGGAAAAAATTGTGTTCCCCCCCCCCCCCATGTTCGTCCTATTTATAATTTCAGCATACATTACTAAATACTATAATGGGCCACAAACAAAAGAGACACTAACAATAATATGCAAGAAAGTTGTTAAGAGCTTTTGGGTGCCCTCTGAGATTGATGGGAAGACTCCTATTGACTCAATGAACATTGAATCAGGCCCTGAAGATATAAAAATACCCTCTGTTCAGTTCAGTTCAAAACTGAACGAAATAGGTTGCTAGGCATCACAATAATAGGTTTTCCTATGTGTAATTAAATATTCAGACTGCCAATACATTAGGCAAATAGTCTAAATTAATCCGATTATATTAACTGGTTTTCAATACCTTCTATAAAGATCAAAGCTTAAATTTAGCCATATTGTGTTTCTCTGATATAATTTATAATGAAGCAGTTATCAATACTGGAGATGATGAACTTGAAATTTGAATGTTTAGAGTGGTATGATTTTCAGAAGTGGTGAGCATCCACAGCTCCTGCTGACTTCAATGAACTGAATTTGACTGTGTCTAATTTAGAGCCAGTGTAGAGAACTGAGCACCAGGTCATAAGCTCATGGTAACCGAGCTAAACAGATGTGTTGGTGCATTTGGAAAGGTTGCAGTTTTTTCATAGCATGTGGCTTCATTCCTAGTTTTGAGTATGAATTACAACAATCCAGACCAGAGCTCATGAAAATGTAGATCATAGTGGCCAAATCTGTGGCTGATAGGATGCAGTACCTCCTTTTGGCTAGTCACAAGTAGGTGTTTAGCTATTTAGGCATCCAAAAGGACCCCAAGGCTGCTAGATCAATTTAACAATCTGAGGACAGATGCCCTCATTGGTAGGAAGTGCTGTTGAGTACTCAAGTTCTTTGAGGGACTTCACTCTTCCTAGTAGTATCACCTCTGTCTTGATGCTAGATTCAGCCTTAGCACTAGCCAGCAGCTCCATGTGCTGTTTTCAGCAAAACATTGAAAAAAAATAGAAGCTCTTTGGGGCAGGGGCTGTCTTTTTGTTCAGTGTTTGTACAGTGCCTAGCACAATGGAGTCCTGTCTATGATTGTGACTCATATGCGCTATGATAACGCAAATTAATAGTAGTGCTGTTTATGTATGACATGAAGGAGATATAGAGCTGGATGACTTGGTGTGCTTCTGGCACTTCAGGCAGTGTTGTCTTCAAAGTCTTGCCATGGCACTATGTAGATATTGAATAACACGGGGGAGAGGATTGAGTCTTGTGGGAGACTCTGTGAGGAAGGTTTAGGAGGTGAACTAGCATTTTCCCATAACAACCCTCTAAATTCAATCTGAGAGGAGGGACCTGACGCATTTTCCATTCATCTCTTCCATCTTTCAGAGGTAGGACAGGAATATTTGGTTTTCAACATTATTAAATCTGCAGTGAGGTCCAGCAAGATGAATTTTGGCACATTTCCCTTGGCTGCGGAAAGGAGAAAGTCACCCCCTAAGAGCAACAAGTGCTCTCTGTGCCCTAGCCTGAAGCCTGAGGGAGAAGAATCTAAGGCCTGGTCTACACTAACCCCCCAAGTCGAAGTAAGGTACGCAACTTCAACTACGTGAATAACGTAGCTGAAGTCGACATACCTTACTTCGAACTTACTGCGGTCCACACGCAGCAGGCAGGCTCCCCCGTCGACTCCGCGGTACTCCTCTCGTTGAGCTGGAGTACCGCAGTCGACGGCGAGCGCTTCCTGGTTCGATTTATCGCGTCCAGACCAGACGTGATAAATCGAACCCGGAAGTTCGATTTCCAGCCGCCGAACTAGCGGCTAAGTATAGACCAGCCCTTAGATACTGACAAGAGATGATATTTTTGCTAGATTCTTGATTAACTTGCTTTTAAAAAGGGAGGCTAGACATTAAGTGGTTTGAGTGATGGCTTCTTTAGCACTGGTTAGACATCCATGTTTTTACATGTATGAAAGATTTCCCTTGTTAATAAGGGCCCCATGAGGTCTCTGTTTGTCTTTTACAATCCAGGAAAGGCAAGTGTCGCAGCTGGTGGTTCTGATTAGAATGAGTACTTCCATAGCTACTATTGGCATGAGTGGGCTGAAATCTTGTGAGGATTGTTTTTGGTCCTATGGCTGGTTTGTTCCCCTTGATGGCCCTGAGGCTTTCCCAGATAGAACCTCTTTCTGGAAAGAATTGTGTTCCCAGATTGAATGGAGACTGTCTGGTTTACAAGCAATTTACAGTTATTTTAATTTTGTTTTCTAAACATTGTTTCTTTCCTCTTTACTTTCTGTATATATAGGATTATCTCTTAGCATGACTGTCCAAACCAAAGTACTTTCTACCAAACCAGAAAAATCTCTGATCTCCTGCCCTGTAGTATTGCCCTGAAGCAGTACATCTTATTTGCAATATTTAAACTTTACGCTCATACCAAAAGTGTTAATTTAACCATATATTTTATATAAAATTCAGCATCATGTGTGAAACTCCACAGGATGAGAATTTTTACCACAAATGCAAAGGTTCTTGTTTGATTTTTTTTTTTCCTTCCTCAAAAAATATGGTTTGCCATTTGAAATACTGGAAGAAGCTGGTTGCAGATTTTCATGCTATTGTGATGTTTGTAGATGTTTCTAGATAATGAGATGTTTTTGTCACTATTATTGATGATATTTACATTTTTCTGTTAAACCGTCACTCAGAATGTGGGTATTTAACATTGATTTGTTATTTTTAAATTCCATAATAATCTTAACCTGATTGGTAATGTAACAGATTTGGGTTTTTAGTGACATCTTGAATAGATAGAATATAAAATTCAAGCTGTCCATTAAACCTTTTTGCTTTCAATCTGTCAGAGTTATATAAACTTCTAGCGCTACTGACTGATAGTGATGAACAATACTTCCCAGCAGTTTAAAAAAAATACAATATAGTTGAAAACATACTGGATTATCTCCTTGAATTTGATTGAAACTTCCTTGTTATACAAATAACATAACAAAGTTACACATCAATCTCCAGTGCTCCATTGTGTTCAGAAATTAATTCCACATTCCTTTTGTGATTTATTATCTAGAATGTATGGGTATAATGATGTACAATTACTATTATCTGTATTACAATAGTGCCCAAGGAAGACTATGCACTGTTGTGCTAGACATAAAGGCATGATCCCTGCCTCCCAAATTCTTATAATTTAAGAAGATAAGTGATATATGGAGGGCGAGGGAGATGGATACAATTAAGTATATACAGTTTTTATATGTACACTATATGTTTCTTAGAAAACATCTCACCTATACCTGATTTGAACTGGGGTGCCAAGCAACTGAGCATGTATCTGGTGTCTGTACACCTTCCAATACAGAGAGCTGAAATTCCACAGAGAGTCACCTAGATAAAATGGCAACTGGGCACTTCATACCTACAGAGAGAGCTGTTGGTGTGATATCAGAACTATGAGCGTGAACCTTGAGTGGTTCGATATTACCTAAATCAAAAGTTAGTATTATAGCCTAGTAATCGAGGGTTATAATATGTAATACATCTTTTTGTTTAATGTCTGGAACCTGTTTTATTTCTATGTTTTCAAAGTGAACATGCAAAATCATGGCGACAGAACATATATGCAAATCAAGAGTGAAATACCCCCACCACCACACACAGACTAATGTTGGCAATAGTCCATCAACTTCCTTTTCCCACCAACTGGCAAGACTGTCCCACAGTTGCTTGGCCATATCAACTAACCCATCCACCACACCCCACTAATGGTTTAGATCAGTAAGTAGCAGTAGTTGAAGTGCCTTTTTACAGGTCTGCCTCCAGTCCCAGCTTAGCAATTTAGCTTTGTTCAGGTGTTGGGTATGCAGGGCCTCACCAGAGCCCATTCAGCTGTCTGTCCTCTGTGTTGCCTCTCAATCTGCATTATAACTTGCTGCAGAGCCCATATGTGAATGGGACACAAGAGAACTTAGGATCCTAGCTTCTTGGAAATGAGCTCCTTCCGCGCTCTGTGAGCAGAGTAACCCCCAAAATCCAAGTTCATGTATATTTATGGTGATGCCAAGTGTAAAGGAATTATGGGTAAGTAGCCTATGCAAATGAAGCTCTCTGTGGCAGCACTTTTTCCTTCTGAGGATTCTGGCCTTAGAGTTACACAAGCACGTCTTCATTCTCCTGCCAGAAATGTCTCCTCTGCTCTATTGTGAAGAATTTCAACATCTAATATTGTGGAGGCAATGGTAGAATTCACCAGTGCCCACCTTCCAGAATTCAGTGGAGGAGTCAGCTTTGGAGGAAGACCTAAGACCAAAGAGAGAGTTCCCAGCATGGATTTTGGAGAAGAGAGACTGTCATAGAAGGCAGTAGAGCTCTTCTTCCTCATTCATACTATGCAAGACAAAGATGTGTACCCTAAAAGGACCTTCGTTGAATAAAAGGGAAAATTCATGCTCACTCATGTTAGAAAAAGCAAAGTAGATGGTTTAATTGTCTAATCATGAGGTTTGGAACATCTAGACTCTTTGGAACTCAAGTTTGAGTTCTGACATGGATGAAAAAGTCCTTCATCCTCCCAGTGGAGATCAAACTGAGCTCCGTGCAATGACTTTGGTCCACAAGAAAGAAATTTCTTAATAAAAAATTTCCATAGGCTCATGTGGAAGCATATTACAGGGCCTAGCCAGCCCTCCAAAGAATTGCCTATCTGAAGGAATTAAGCAGAGTTTTAATTTCCGAAAAGGGACATAAAAACATTGGCCAACTCAGAGGCCCTCGAAAGCACTACCCCTGTATTGGGTAGACAAGCCCTTTCAAAGTGTTGAATGTTCTCTGTTGCATTACATTTTTTACATCTGCACCGCACAACAAGGTGGCTTCATTAATTTGCCGCACAGTTCACCGGCTTTTGGAGGGGTTATGTCTAGATTTAAGTCTGACTGGAAAAGGGGTTGTGAGCCTAAAACACCACCTGGCACCTAAGAAGAGCAAAGAATAGAGCTCAGCCACACAAATACAGGAGACTGACTGACTGACTGACTCTGTTTATGAGATTATGTAGATATAATCTGTCGTGTAAACCAAAAGGTAAATTTGGAATGAGGCATATTTATGCCATCTGTGAGGAACAGCTTAAATTCTGGAGAAAGGCGATCAGGCTAAAAATCAAGTTATTTAGGTATGTTCCACTCATTTCTATGCCTGTTCAGTAGATTTTTATCTTCATATACACAGTATGAACATTATTATATACAGGGCCATTTGTGCACACAAGTGTAACCCAAAATATTTATATATTTTATACAAACACACACACACACACACACACACACACACACACACACGATGTACATAAATAAATACATCGGGTGAAATCCTGTCTCCACTGACGTCAATGGGTAGTTTTCTTTTTCTTTACACACTCTCCTACTGCCCTCCTCCCCATTTTGAGTTTGGAGCAGAATTCTAAATCCAAGCAAAAACAGCACACAAATTTTAATATTTAATTACAACATACGTTTTATCACTCTGATGAGGAGCAAAGCCAAGAGCTTGGCTACTTGTGCTCATTAAAGACCCTAATATTCTTTAGGTAAACGTCAGCTGAATTCCAACTCAGATTATTGTTATGCCTCCCTAAATTGTGCCTGCAGTTTCAATTGGAAAAAATATTCTTCATTCTCTGCCCTGAATTGTTGCATAGTGTTTCTGTGTGCTGCTAAATAACTGCTGGGTTCCCCTCAAGTTGGCTGTATTTCAATGGTGTTGATGAAATAGCTCCTTGTTATCATAGCTTTTTCAAGAGTACCTCATGTATTCCTAATGCACCCATTGCAGTGGTATCCCAGCACCAAAGACACAAATTAAGGATAGCACTAACATTTTTCCTAAAGGGACCTCATTCTCCACCTCTCTGACTATTCTTTTTCTCAGGATTTGAGGGAAGGTCGCAATTCTTTGTTATAATCTGTAAAGTGCTTTTGAAAGTCTTGGAAGCAAAGGACCAATATAACACTCAGATACTAGAGCAATAGACACATGGTATAAGAACCTAGGTGGATAGATAATGCAGATGTGAGATCATTATCAAATATAAGATGTATGTATCTATCTGACTTCCATGCATTTCTTCCAGTTAACCAGCAATCACACTTAGTGATTTTTCTTACCCCAGTCATTTAACACTCATCACTTGCAGCCTGACCAGGAAGCATTCATGCCAAATCTGAACAAATCTGCTGTAACTTTTCCATATTATCTCATTGCAGAGTCAACAGTATATAGCAGCTGGAATGTAGCAGATCTATCCTCCTCTGTCCTGTTATGAATTACCAAAAGCCTGCACCACAGAAGGCAAGCACATAGTATTGTTATTTTATTTTCTGTTTACAGTAAATATTTCTGATCTACTGAAGTATATGCAGACTGGTCTGCCCTCATCTGACAATATGTACTCATAAAAATGCCCCTACAGAGTGGTTGTGCTATGCTGATTTCTGGTGGTCTTTTCTCCCTTCTATTAAGTTCACCTCAGACCTGTTTGCCAGAGTAGAAATAAATTCCAGGATTTAATGAGAGTCTCAGTTGAGCATTTTTCTTTAATAGAAAAAGAAGAAAACAAATAATTAAATATAAATAGAAAAACCAAGAGATACTTTTGTTGCCGAGGGAGCATAATCTATCTCCAATTTACTGTATATTTAGAGGAGCAAAGAATCTTATGAATTTGTGTTGTAGAGTTAATTTGTTCAAGAATGAAAATTTTCAACCTCTTTACTTGTGCCATTTAAGTCATTTTTAAAAAAATGCTCATATAATTTTCAAATGTTAAAAACCAGAAAGCATTCCAATTCATTTCAGTGCCCATTTTAGGGGTTTCAAAGAGCTTTAACATTCATTGTGCCCTACTCTCAAGATTGTACATGATTTGTGATTAAGTATGTAGGCAGGTGTTGGTGATGAATTTAAGTGAAATGAGAGATACAGTTCAGTAGTTTATAATTAAGCATGTGCCTGAGCTGGACACCCTCAGTGTTTGGGGATGTTTGGATCAAAAGCTGAATTCTGTAGCATGGACCTGTTTATGCTTATATCAGATGCACCCTTTTTATGGACAATACATGCACAGTACGGCGAGTTCAATGTATTGCTTCAAATGCTTCAGCATTCTATTTTTTATTGTATGTTTATATGAGTTAACTAAGACTTTTGAAGAACCTAACGCATGTTCAGTTAACGTTTTACAAAAAAATCTCCCTTTTTAAAGTCGTCTTCACTTGTACAGTCACTGAGGAAAAGCTAGAATTATTTCTGACTTACCAATCCACAATTAAATCCCTCTATGTCAAGTGAATTCTTCCCCAATTCTAGTTCATACAAGCTCTCAGTGACACAAACAAGCCAGATCTATGTACGGTCACAACAAACCAAACCCACAACATAAGTCAGCCGGTCTCTGCTGAACAGGTAGAGTACACCACCACCCTGGTGTATTTTTCCATCTTTACCTTTCATTGGGAAGCAAACTGACTAGTGTGTTCTGTCTCAAATAGTTCTTGTCAACACTCCAACGATTCTTGGGGTTTTGGAAATGTCGTCCCTTCTTTCCTGTAAGAGGTGTGTGGATAATAGTGAAGAGCAGATGCTGCTGATAGAAGAAAGGCCTGATTTGATTCATTCTCTGGAACCTAGGAGGTGTTGCAGCAGCAAGCGAGATGGCTTAGCAAACTCTAATTGCAGAAAGGAGGAGAGAGAATGTCAAGCACCCCACGAGAGTTTGGATTATTTACCTTCCCACAGTAGAGTTTACAAGAAGTGGCTACAGGAGAAAACGTACAGGTAACAATGCCCCCAATATGTACTGTCCTGTTCCTCCTAGATCGCAGGCAACTTGTTTTAACTCTGATTAGCACCAAACTGTAGAAAAACAAAAAAATTGAAGTGTGTAGGTCTTTCTAGAGAGTAAATTTCTTCAATTGTGGAAAATTGGGGAGCAAAAAGTCTGTCTATGGTTTGTGTGCACCTCTCCAATGTAGTTTCTGAGTGCCCCACAAATACTGATGAATTCATCTTTGTAACACTCCTGAGAGATAGAAAAGTATTATCTCCATTTTACAGCTGGCGTCTGAGGCACAGAATAAATTATTTGGCTAAGATCACACAAGAAGTTTAAGCTAGCTCTATCTTTCCCTTATGAAAGCTGCTCAGAAGGGTGGGGGTTAATAAGTTAAGTAGATACTAGAATCATGAGATGAAAAATTATTTTATTTGTGGAGTTGGGGAGGCAGAATGGTCTTGTGGCTTATACCCTGGACTGGACATCAGACAACCTAGATTTTGTTCCTGTTCTAGCTTTATAAACATACCCCATTCCCTTGTGCATCTGTCCTAGAACATTTTCTTATGCCTCTTTCTCTAGCTCATAAAATGGTTGGAGTATACATATTCTGTCTCAGAGGGGTTCTGAGAGACTCAATTCACTAATACTCACAAAGTGCACTGGGCTAATTATATGCAAGTTGCTACTGAACTGCAAAGCTTTATTTTAAAAACAATACAATGAATTGTGAAAGATGCTCACAAAATGATGGGGATAAGGGAATGAGTGGCCTTTTCATTTATTTCCCTATTTAAGAAAATGTTTTCACGTAATCGTAGCCAAGAAGGGAGGCAACTGGACAACTAACCTTTTTATTCAATGTCACTTCCCTGGAAATCCTTATACCTTACTGAGCATGCAACTAGTATAACCCGTTGTTCAATTTGTACAATTTGGAAGGAAAAGGCATGTTAAAGACTTTGCAAGGGATTTGGGGGTACCCTCTTCAGGGGAAATTGCTTGCAAATATCTGACCTTATATTCTAAAGCCAAAAATGTTCTCTCCAGAAATGTTTTATGAGCCCAAGAAATAAATAAACTCTGTCAGGGATGATTTAGCAGTAAATGATGCCTTATGCTAACCAGGAATTATTCGTAAAACACCATAGATATGCACTCTATTTAAGGGATATATGAACTAGAGGCAAAGGCATAATTTTATATAATTTATGCTTTGTGTCAATGCATTAACTAAAACTGGGGCAAACACAGTAAAACTTTTGAGACCAAGATGATAGAGATAAAGCCACTGCTCCCATTCAATATTTAATGCTACTTAATAGCCTCTATAGCACTTTGCTTCTTATGAGTGCAAACGTTAACTCAGATGAACATGGGACTGATGGCTGAGTAATATCTGCCCCATTAGCCCTCAAATAACTAAACTGCATGATTTCAGCAAACATTCTTTAGTGTTGGGCTCTGCCTGGGCCCACCTGGAGGGAGATTATAGTGCCACCAGACCCCTATGGTTGTGTATATGTAAGATTTTAGAGCCTTTTTCCAATAAATTATTGGTAAAAAATCTTGCCCAGGATGGTAGTGTCCTAAAGTTGGTTTTACTATGTGACGCTTATTAGGTGATTGCTCTGAAATGAGTTGGTGACCTCAGATCACATCACAGGTATTCCCCCTGCGAAAATCTTCACTACAGTGGATGCTTATTGGGAGCCCCTTCATCTCTCAGCAGAGACCAAACGTTACATAGACCTGAAAAGACTGCCAATGGGGTGGTCCCTTCAAATCAGGAATGGGACAGGGTGGGGATATGTGCAATGCCAATAGAACAGATGTAGCATGGCCGTGGTCAATAGAAAACTTCAGTTTTCAGGGTTGTGAGTCTGGCACCTCCATGAGCACTCAATTCACTAGAGAGGAGGTAAAACACCTTACTTGTTTTTGGTGCTCAGATACAGAAATACTATTTCTTGGCCCTTAGGTTAAAAAGTTTTAACATCCCTCTGTGTGTTTGTGTTATGTTGTATCTACTATAAAATATATTTTGAAGTAGCACTATCTAGCTCCTTAGCCAAATGGAACTGATTCCCAAAGGAAGATGGCTTTTTGTGAATATATGTAGTCTTCTGCTTAATATACCAGGTTTGTGTGGTTTGGCCTCTCTTTCAGTCACAGATAATAATCAAAACAAGCATACCTTTTTGCAGGAGGCAATTTGACAAACCAACCTGAGCTCGCTGCAAAGGACTAATGTTACTATTCCATCTTTAGAACTGACTGGGATCGATGGATGTTGATGGGGCTAATTGGAATAGGAGTAGGAATGCTGGGATTCCTGACACATCAGATAATTGACTATCTCATCAAACTAAAATGGGAACTGGTGAAAAATTACCTCCAGGTGAGCAGAGGAAAAACAAATTGGCCTCTCTTTTTACTTTGTTCTGATTGGTAGTAAAACTCCATGAACATGAAGTTTTTACTCAGCTACTCTACTGGCCTCTTCTGTCAATGATTTTTTTGCTGAAGAATTTCTTCCTAAACGCTTGAATGAAGCATCTGCTGACTAACTGGGAAATACAATAGCTGACATTCAGTACATGATAAGCAGTTGGTTTAGCAAGTCTTCTGCATATACAGGCAACTATTCGGTAAATGTGATCCATAACAAACTCTTCTGGACTGATCTGCAGATCTGAAAGGAAAATGAAACCAGGTTTAATTTTCTAGAAAGCTGTTTCCATTAATCACTGTCTCAAAAGACTTCTATTTCTATTAATCAAAATTTAAGAGATTTCCCCACACGTCTTGAAAAAGTAACACTATGCATGTCAGTTACTATACACCTATGTAGCAAATTATGGGCCCGATTATACAACCCCCTACTCTCATGAGTAATCGCACAGCCAATGTGATTTATTGCATGAGTAAGGATAGCTGATTTGAGAGTCAGATTTGCATCTGAATTGTGTCTTGAAATTGCAACTAAATACATACATGCCTATGGTAGCAGATGGAAATAAAATTCATCTGCATCACTGATAATACAAAAGCAGCTAAAGGGTGGCTTGGATGCTTATGCTTCAGGTTTGTAATGGCTACACACTCTCTGGAACCAAAGGTACAAATCCTGGTGGAGTTAACTCAGGCTCAGTCTTTCTAAGACAGACAAACTGAGTACCATGCAGTTTATTGTGTGCGTGCTTGCTTGATTGGAGGCGGTGAGGACCTGATGGATGGGAAAAGAAGGAAGCTGGTTGTCAGTACTTGGCAAGCGCACAGTTAAGAGGTTCATAACAGGAAGGAGCTTTGCCATCTTTGGCAGAAAAATGTAGACATTCTACGCTGGACTCTGATACCTTAGCACAATGACCATGGGTATGGACAGGTGTTCAGATATCAGTGATGAGCATGGTATGAATACCTAATATCTTTGTTGGATGTCTCATGAGAAGTCAGGACTTCGAAATAATGCTTCCAAGGCCTTCTCAGCTGAAGGGAGCTCTAAGCACTTCAGGAAAATGCAGAGGTGGACTTGACATCTACAGGAAATGGGGGATGAGAAGATCAGTGTACCTCTGAGATATGAAAACAATTAAAAATGGGTTCCAGTAGTATGACCTATATGATGCTCTGAGTCAGAGTCTGCCAAGAAACCAGACTTTGTCCCCAGGCATTGTAACCGTCCTAGTACTGGATCATAAAATTTCCATTGTGTGTGTCACTGCTTCCAAGCAGTAGGCAGAACTCATCCCACTATCCTTGTGATGGTGGTGTTGCATTACAGTAGTACCAGAGACCATGCTAAGATCAGGGTCCCTTTGTGCTAGTTGCAGTACAAACAAGTATTGAGAGGGTTCCTGCCATAAAGACCCCACAACCTAAATTCATTCTCCAACTATCGAGCAGCTGAATTCAGTTCTGTGTACCGTACCTTCCTGTTTTGCCGCTCTGTACAGTACACTAGAAAAAAGACCTGGCATGAGGTGCAGACAGGAAGGCTGAGGTGGCCTGCTGTACTACTATGATTTGGGAAACAAAGGGGACAGCTTTGGCTTGCATACACAGTGAATCAAAGCCGAACAGTCGGGAATTTTATAAAGTACATGGGTGCTGATGTGCTTGTGATGAGTTCTGGAGACAGCATGACTGCAGTTAATCCAAACACAAACAAACCAGCCAACCTTGGCAGACTGAAACATGTTTAAATTGAAAAGACTGAGTATAAGAGATGTCACTTTATTAAAGAAATAAAAGAGGGAACTATCTAGATGAATTTATGGTTAGTATTATTGGGTAAAATATAAAGAGTTATCTATTGTAATAGATTCAGGCTGCAGTTCAGGAAAGCATCTTCATTCAGTATAGCACTTAAGCACATAAGCAATGGAGACAATGGAACTTGAGTAAGTTCTGTCCTGATTTGGGGCCTTCAGGGAACCCTAAAATACCCTTTGCTATGTTGTATGGGCATGGGCAAGTTGGTTTGGAAAACTAAGCCACTGTGAACCTTTCTCTTATCTAAAACCCAGACTCAACCCCATATTTTCAAATAGTCTGCAACACTTGCTTCTCTCTTTCCCCTGTTTTCATTCTTTTGCTGTAAATTGTAGGACTTGCTACAGTGGGTTATGAAAGAAAATGGACAAATGAACAGAAAAATGTATCTCTAAATATATATCACTATATAGTATTGGCAGAGGGTTTGAGACAGTACACATACTTGTTTTCTATACCATTGCTTATGCTAATAAATTATTTCTAAAACGCAGAACGGCAACTTCCACATGACCTGGATTTGCATACTTGGGTCAGGACTGGCCATGATTGTTGTATCTTCAGGGCTAGTGGTGGTAAGTATGTCTCTTACTCAACTACTGTAAAATATCAGTGGAGTTCTGAGAGATGGAGGCTTAATTACAGAAAAGGAGTCTTAGAACATATACCCTGTATAGTCCTCACTGGGAAACAGTCAGAGGCCTAACACAGGTCTATAATGCTGAGATCAGACAAATCCCTTGCTCTTGTGTTTTTTTGTTGTGTCAGTGCCTTCTAAGTGCTACTATAGTTAAGCATGATCAGGATTTCTCCATGATTTCTGTTTTACTGGCTATGTAGGGAATCCTGGGATTGATATCCAGTCTGAGATCCAAATTCAGGCCCTGTGAGCACATGCATTTCCTATGGCAGTCTCGGGCAAAATAAATGGTGGTGTAAATGGTTGTGTAAGTTATACTTTAGGTATACATTGGTCATAAAATGGACACAAGTGGCAAATTAGCGTAACTTGCACAGAGTTGGAGCCTGATCCTAAAATAAACACTCACAATGACTTCAAATGGGGTTGAGCTCAGACCTCTGTGTAAAACGAGTGTAACTTACATTTCCAGTTCTCCTTTGAGGCTCCAGCAACTCTACCAGACTGCAAAGCCAACACAGAAAGCCGGTTTCCCATCTACCATCTTACTGGGTTCAATTTAATCACAAGAAGGCAGCTAGTAGCCTCAAAGGGGGGGGGGGGGGGGGGAGAGAAGAGAAAAAAAAACATTTAATTGATCTTTCCAAAAAAGCTAAGGAAAAGGTATAGGTGGGTACACATATCTATTTGCTTAATACAGAAGTCTTGAGCTATGTAGGAGGAGGAACTGAAAGAATGGATGACTTGATAAAACAAGTAACTGTAAGTTGTGAGAGAAGTTATGAACTGTTTGTGAAAGCTGCAATTATTAGCTGCAGGTGGATCTGAATGCATGTATTTGGAAATCATTTTTGACTCTCTCTTTACAGTTCTTTTGCCCAGCAGGTGCACCGTATGGGCTTCCAGAAGTCATTGGGTTTCTGAATGGTGCTTCTATTCAACACATTTTTAATGTCAAGACTTTTTTGGGGACGTTTGTTTCTTGTGTGCTGGCTGTGGCTTCTGGGCTCTTCTGTGGACCGGAAGGCCCTATGATTCACTTGGGGTAAGGAACACCATGGGAGAGTGTAAACTGTCAGGGTCTGATTGTCCGGTGCCAAGTGGGTATAAAATGCTCAAATCAGAATTGTTTTCTCTCACAAGTGGTGGTATTTGACGCCCGCTTTGCACAGGGTAAATGACTGCACAAGGTGCAAAAGAGTGGGAAATTGGATGCTCAGGTTCCATAAGATCCCTAGATTACAAAGAAGACAACCCACAGTTATAGTCAATAGTGACCACAGAATTGGTCAAAACTGCTTCTCTTTGCAATTCCCACAGGTTAGTAGATTGCAAGTCAGAATGGAGCTGCAAATTATTTATATCCCAGTGTGGTGCCATATTTATAGTTGGGAAAGTAATATCAGAATATGCTCTTGCTGAAAGAAACCGATTTATTTTTTTCCTATTTAAATAAAAAGAAACAAACAGAAATCCTCCCAGTCCTTCAGCTGGGTCCCTGGGAGAGGAATCCTCTCCTTTTATTTCCTTTATTAAGCAGTCTCATGAGTAGAGGTGATAGTCAGGTTCTTTCTGCTTGTGTAGTACATTTTGTTTTTTGGCTGACCTATTAGGGTTAGGGTAAAGTATTTATCCTTGAGGTTTGCTCTCCTCATCTCCACAAAACCCCTTTCCTCCACTCTTATCATTTTACTTGTACATAGGTGCAGCAGCCCTCAAGGATGACTCAGGTTTTCAAAAATAAGAGAGTAAGGTTTAGTCAGAGGCAAACATAACCATTTCAGACAATGATTACCAAGGCCTAGCTCTCCTTTTCAGGTTTCTTTTGTTTGCTTTACTTTCAGACTTTTGTCTCCAGGCGCTCAGTGGTTGCAGCTGTAATTTCCCCCCCTCCACCGCCCCCACGTTTAGTTTTGTAATAGTGACGCATGATCCAAAAAAATGCAATCAAATTTCCATAAAGAAAATCAGAACAGTATTAACTTAATGCCTTAAAATAGTGGCATAAAGAACTAATTTAATTGAATTTATTTTTTAAAATATCCAATTTTTATTGTACATCAACACACACAATTTTGTTACAAAGAGTCTTATACAAAGAATATAAATATTTTCATGATTTTAAATGTCGATGAAAACCGTTTTCTTGGATTTAAGTGCAGCCCTGAAGCATTGTCTGAGACATGGTATAGTAAATGAAACCACTATGCATCTTCCACTGGGAGTGAGACTGCGTTGCTCTCAACGGTGATTAAACTTGAAATGGATGATTGAAATGGACTATAATTAAGGTTAAGATTTTGTCACGGAAGACCTTCCAGAGACCTCTGTGACATTTTCTGCTTCAGCCCTAGGGCAGTGTGGCTGGAGGTGTCAGCTAGCAGGGGCCCAGCAGCTCTCAGGGGCTAGCTCTAGCGGCCAGCTCTCAGCCACCACACGTAGTGGGGAAACCCTTCAGCACATGCAGGTGATTGGGAGCCCCCCCCCCCACAGCTCCCAGCCACTGGCAACAGCAGGGCTTGTGTGGCCCAGCCACCATGGGCAATGGGGGCAGGGGGACGGGACCCTGGAGCCCAAGCAGCTGTGGGTGCTGGACCCTCCTCACCCGTGACCTGTCTGTGACTTTTACTAAAAATAATCGTGACAAAATCTTAGCCTTAACTATAATTAATTGTTGTATGCAGTGTAGTTGTAGCCATGTCAGTCCCAGGATATTAGAGAGATAAGGTGGGTGAGGTAATATCTTTTATTGGACCAACTTCTGTTGGTGAAAGAGACAAGCTTTTGAGCTGCACAAGCTCTGTGTGGCTCGAAAGCTTGTCTCTTTCACTAACAGAAGTTGGTCCAGTACAGTACAAGATAATACCTCACCCACCTTGTCTCCCTCTCTCTCTCTAATCCATCATGTCTGTACTCTTAGGCAGATGCTAACATGCAGCTCATCAAAGGAGCCTTTAGAGTCTTTCTTCACAGTACATGTTGTGAGGGGCCCTTTTAATCTCTGAATTATTAACTTGGAAGCCTTTAATAGCTTCCTCTCTTGTGTCAACAGGACTTTGCATATTGAAAAGCAAATGTGTTCTACAGTCCCATGTTACACTTGTTGAAGTCAATTTAGCTTTGCTGCTCTGCAGCAGCTGAGGATCTGGCCCTTTTATCTTTAACTTCAGTTGATATGTGAATAGCATATTAAAAATAACACTAACTTTTATATCATTATTTTAGGGCAATAATAGGTTGTGGCCTGACCCAGTTCAAGTCAGACATCCTCGGAATTCAGCTGCCCTTCTTCACCAGGTTTTGGAATTCAGCTGATAAGTATGTAATTGATCAGATGTAATTGTTTAAAAAGTCTTCTGAGACACAGTTGCCATATGCTGACTCTCAAATCAGATGTATCAAGGGGTTAATCAAAAAGCTAGGGACTAATAGAATCTGGCAGAGAGTTGGAGTGAATGATCTAATAAGATTCTAGTCATCTCTGATATTTGTGATCTTAGACGGAAAATACTGGAAGATATTCCTGGCCCTCTCCATCAGAAAGTAATCTCTTCCTCCCTCTGTGATTTCCATAGCTGAGCTGTGCTGGGCTCTAGCAAATGTAGAGCCATAATTAAAACGACTTGTGATAAATACGTATGTTAAATGGTTATGAAAACAGTGTGCTTAACACGTGGGGCCTAATTCTCCATTGCTTTGCACCTCGTGTTGTCTTTCACACTGCTATAAAGTGAGTGTAAAATACTAGACTTTTGAATTTAGGTTTGTCTAAATTAATATAGCATTAAGATACTTATATATTTAGTTTAAATGTTTTTTCTTTCTTCCTGGCTATCCTGAGGATTCCACAGTTTCAGTTCAATCTACACATTGTGCATAGGAGACACAGGCTTGTTTCCCTTTTTCCCCACTGTAAAATGATACAGACTGTTCATACTTTCTTTAATCTGAATCTTCTCTGCTAATGAACATCTGTGGGCTGGATTCTGCAAACCTGCTTTTGTAAATACTCCCACTGAAGTCAAAGGGATTACTCACATGAGTAAGGATTTCTTGCATCAGTAAGGATTTGCAGGGTCAGGCTCTGTCTTCTGGATATTGCTCATTAAAGTAATAAATAAAAAGCCCCATATTATACTGTTTTTGTTGTTGTTGTTGTTGTTGTTTCCAAGGCAAGGGCAAAGCAGGGCAAAAGCCTCATTTGCCAAAAGAAAAGGCCATTGTGAACTATTTGTGGCTCACAGGGTAATCATACAGTACAGCTCGTACGATATGTGATATGCTTTGTCTTTAACTTTCATCTTCAGTTAGTGAAATAAATCCGGAGACATGCCTATTAAAACAAATTGTTACTCATGGAAGAAATTAGTAATTGCTGTAAGAGGAGCAGTAAAAGATTTTGTTTTTGTTTTGTAAAAGTACAATATAAGTTAATTAGAGAAGAATTGATTTACAGAGGCAGGAAAACTCCTGGGAGAAACATGTCATCTAGAAATCCTGTTTATACAGAAAGGATTAACTGTGAACAGCAAGCTCATCTTAGCTTCTCCTCCTTGTTGTTGTCTTTTGGAATGTGGGATGAGAAGCATGCTAACTCCTTTCTGGTGTATTTTTGGAGCAGCAAATAAGTTTGGTACCCTTTTTAAAGTCTTTTAAAGTAAATGTTATAGCTTCACAGATGAAGCAACAGTTCAGTAAGTATTCAGGCATCATGTAACCCTTACTCCAGTAGACAGCACTAGTTGATATGTATAAGGGCACGTCTATACAGCAATTAAGAAAAACCTGTGGCATTGAGTCTCAGAGCCTGGGTCATCTGACTTGGGCTTGCAGGGCTCCGGTTGTGAGGCTGAAAATTGCTGTGTAGACATTCCCACTTGGACTGGAGCCCGGGCTCTGAGATCCTCCCTCCTCGCAAAGTTTCAGTGCCCAGGTTCTAGCCCCAGCCAAAATGTCTACACTGTGATAGTTAGCTCTGCAGCCCGAGTCCCACAAGCCTGAGTCAGCTGAACTGGGTCAGCTATGGCTATGTTACTCTCAAAAAAACTATGTTAAAAGAAGGTTAAGTTTCTAAAGTCAAGCCGTCAAAAATTTGGAAATGCCAGACTTAAGGTTGCCTGCATAGCCTTAATTCAGCCCTCTTGTGCATATGCATTATGATATAGTCTTTGGTGACATGGTCACCTACTATTTTTTCCACCACACCTCTGCATCATTCAGTGCACAGGATGGACAGTGCTCACTGAACGAGCAGCAGTTCAATAATTTGTTTTCTCCTTGTTTGTGTGGTCCCAAGCCTTATTTGCTGCATGCTGTTCAAACCTTGCTCTGAAGACTGAATTATTTATTTCCTGATTGGCTTTTCTATGGCTTCACAAACAATGAATTAATTATCAAAGTGCTTCACAAACAATGAATTAATTTATCTTTGTAAAACCCCGGTGAGGGGAGGTGGTGGTATTATCCCCATTTCATACAACAAGATTAAAACATTTTTAAGGTCAGAAGGAACCATTAGATAATCTAGTTTGACCTCCTGTATCTCTCTGGCCATTAAATTTCAACCAGTTACCCTGGTGTTGAGCTTAAAGCATATCTTACAGAAAGGCATCCAGTCTTGATCTGAAGAGATCAAGAGATGGAATCATAGAATATCAGGGTTGGAAGGGATCTCAGGAGGTCATCTAGTCCAATCCCCTGCTCAAAGCAGGACCAATCCCCAACTAAATCATCCCAGCCAGGGGTTTGTCAAGGCTGACCTTAAAAACATCTAAGGAAGGAGATTCCACCACCTCCCTAGGTAACCCATTCCAGTGCTTCACCACCCTCCTAGTGAAAAAGTTTTTCCTAATATCCAACCTAAACCTCCCCCACTGAATCCACCATTTCCTGTTATAGTGGTTCCAGTGCTGCCCTTGCACTGCAACCTTAATTCTGGTATTTCCTAACTTTTGTGTACTCGACTTGGCAAATTTAATGTTCTTTTAACATAGCTTTTTCCATATAACTTCCTTGATTTTTTGAAGAAAAGCAAACTGAAAAAAACAACAACCAGAAATTCAATCATGTGAAACTATATTGACTCCCACATGGTTCATCAGTAGGGTTTGGACTTTTAGATCAACAGCACAGACATCTGCTACTTGAGCTAACAGAGTAACTATAGCAATAGTAGGTTGTCATAGTCTTTGTGGCCCAGCCACTAGAGGGAGATGAGGCACATTTTCCCAGTGGGTTCCACAGCCATTTGATGACAGCGGGGGAATGGTAAGACTCAGGAATCATAGGTTTTATTCCAGATTTATATGGGAGTCTACTGTTGTGGTTTCAGATCCTTCTTCCCCTTTCCCTCTGCAAATCTGACTCCTTTCTGCCGTTGGCCGCTCTAGCTTGTCCCAGTCTCCCCTCCATGTCCTAGTCTTCCTCCTTGCCCATCTGCAGTCCAGGCCACTTCCGTGTCCTTCTCTTCACTGCAGGAGCGCCGCCAGCCTTTTTGCTGCCCTAGGCGGCGGAACGTCCCGCCCCTGAAATGCCGCCCCCGACAGAAGAGGCGGAAGGTCCCGCCCCCGAAATACCGCTGACGACCGGGGCGGTGGAAGGTCCCGCCCCCGAAATACCGCCGACGACAGGGGCGGCTGAAGATCCTGCCGCCGCGGTCGCCGCCCCCCAAATGTTAGCACCCTAGGCGACCGCCTAGGTCGCCTAATGGGTTGCGCCGGCCCTGCTTCACTGCATGGATGCCAGTAGTAGAAGCATTGAGAGCACAAAAGAAACACTCGTTCTCAGCTTCTATGCCTGTGTCATAGCAGCTCCCAGCAGTGTGGAGGAGCAATTGCAAGGAAAATCCTGCTCTGCCCCTTCAGCCTCAAACTGGAGCATGCTCCCTGAAGACGGAATGTTCAGAGAATTTAGCAGTCAAGTTCTAACAAATCTCTACTGAGCGTGTGCAAACTGAGATTTTCAGAGGCCCATAACTTGACCAAATTTGGGTGGATTTTCACAGCGCTGGCAAAAGGCACATCCCTGATAACAGTGTGATACTCCTCCTGGTCCCCCTCATTGCCAAATTTCAAATCCCTGCTGCAAAGCATGGAGGCAGTAGAGTTTCACAGTTAAACAGTTGGAAAGAATTTTTTTATCATTGGCAAAACAATGTATTTTTCTTAAAAAAAACAAAACAAACACACAAACAAAATACTGATGAACCATGTGAGTTGAAAATGTATAGAAAATTTCAGCCTGACCAGACACCCAATATGGGAAATTGCCAAACTTTTGGGTTGAAAAATTATAAACCAATGAAAACAGAGTGTTTTAATAGAAAGTGTTGAGAAAACTTAACTATGGTGTCGCTACCTATAATACATGTAGTGCTCTGAGGAATCAAGAAATTGGTCAACCTACAAAGACACTCTAAGAGTTCCTAATGCAATGCACTAGGAGAGAAAAGTTCATTGGGACAGGGTTAAAAAAGAGAAAAGCTAATATCTTACAAAGCAAACGGAAAAATCAATCAGTTAACCAATCAACACATCCCCTGCTGCCCAGTCCCCAGCCCCTTTAGGCCTCAGAATATGACCCTCATAATATTACTAACATATGGATTCACAGCTAACAGTTCTGAGAGTTATGCTTATCTTTGGGCTCACTGACCCCTCTTTTGGCAGCCCAGTTTGACATGGACCTTTGTGTCCTTGGCAGTTGACTGAAATCAGCTCACTTCTCCTATGCCACCAAACAGCCACTAGTTATTACTGTTGTTGTGGATCAGGTTTGAATTTAGACCCCAGAGGTGAAAAGCTCTATGTCCCCAAAACAATGCCCTGAACCAGCCAGTCCCCCTATATTCAGCCTTTAAAAATCTATTTGCTTTAACAATAAATAGGCAAGGATTATTTTTTTACCATTGTTGAGTTTTCTAAACATAAATCTTAAAGCATGCCTTGCTGTGCCTCACTGTTTTCTGATGAATTATTTTTCTCCATGTTGTAGGAGGAATTTCATTACAGCTGGTGCAGGAGCAGGAATAGCCTCGGTATTCCGTGCTCCAGTGGGTGGACTCTTGTTCACATTGGAAGAGGTGGCCTCTTTCTGGGACATCAGACTGGCCTGGCAAACTTTCTTCTGCTGCTTGATGGCTGCCTTCACTACGGATTTACTCTCTTCATCTCTTTCTGGGTTTGTTTACAGAGGTCATTTTGGATTTTTCAAAGCAGAGAAAAGAATTTTATTTTGGGTATGTACCAAACGGACTATTTTTGAATAAAAATATAGCTCATGGATTTATAATTTATTTGGCAAATACCCATATCTCTTTGGGCCTGTGATGGAATCTGGGAAAAAATAATCTGTGGCACTAGTCCTGTTTTCTGTCTGAAGTGAAGAATCTTGAGAAGCATAAATGGGAAATTAGCCTATGAAAATTAAAAATAGCTTATGGACTGTTTTTAAGCCTTTAGGGCTCTAACAGCAATTGACACTGACCGGAGGACTCCTTCTCTTACCATGCCATACCGCATACCAGCTAATATTAAATGACTACCTCTGACAGCAACATCATTTCTGATGAAGCACTTAGTGATACCATGTCTTAGCTAGGAAAAGAGGTGTGTTCTTACCAAGTGTTCATTAACAAGTGGTAACTAACATGAGATATATCCTAGTGAAGCTGAGGCAGTTTGTAGTTTTAACTGTATTAGCAATTGGAAGTAAACCCTAGGCTCCACCTTAATGCTGGAACTAGCCAGTGAAATCTCCAAGGTGAGAGAGGTGGACAAAGAAGGGGGAGGGAGCCAGCCCAGCCAGGAGAGGCACTAGATTTAAAGCTGCACTTTCCTGTTGTCACCTTATCTGAGGGGTAAATTTCCCTCCCTGAGCAGGCTACGCCTGTGGGTAGCAAGTGGGGAGAATTGCTATTTCCAATTTTCCTTGACGTGAGTCTGGCCCATTCAGTTAAACTTTCTCTCAGAACCATCTTCTGTATGCAATTTTTTTTTCTTAAGCAACTTCTTAAAGTCTCCTCCAACCTGTCCAACACAGTTTTGGTCAACCATTAGTTAGCAAAATTCAGCTGCCTAATAGAGTTTTCTCTGTCTGCATGGGTGGAAGCTTAGATAGGTTTGACTATAGTTACTTTAACTGTTGCAGTTGTTGCTGAGCTGGCATTAGAGTGAAACAATGCCAAGGGCAGTCTTGTTGATTTTCGCACGTCGTTTCTGCTTAATGGCTCAGCCTCCGAGTGGGAACTGCATTCCTGGTAATTAATAGAAAATGGTTAGCTCTTAACATAACAGAACAATTATTTCCGAAGCCCTTTTCCTTCCCCGTGGGGATCCTTGCATTGAGCTCAGGCTATTAGATGGCCAACAGCTTGCAGTGTTTTTGGCTGGGATTATCAAAGGGTTAGCTGCCCAATTTTCACTGAACTGGGAATTGGGCATATAGCTCCTTTTTATTAGGCACTTTTGAAAATCCCAGCCCCAGCTGTTACCAGAGAACAATATGAGGTTCCTTGGGATATGCAAGAAACATACCAAAAAATGTGAGGTATTGGGGGCAAAGGTATCTTTTTGGCATAACATTAATATTCATACATTTTCAACCTGCTGCGGCCAAAATCTGTGACATGTTTTTTAAAATTGGATGATACTCAAAACAAAGGATACATTGGAAAAATAGCAGTGTTTAGGCCACAATAGGTAGGGAGACTTTGGTGGTGGTTTAACACTTGGCTCAGCTAAGGCTTGGTCTACACTTACCCCGCAAGTCGAAGTAAGGTACGCAAATTCAGCTACGTGAATAACGTAGCTGAATTCGACATACCTTACTTCGAACTTACCGCGGTTCAGACGCGGTCCACACGCGGCAGGCAGGCTCCCCGTCGACTCCGCGGTACTGCTCTTGTTGAGCTGGAGTACCGCAGTCGACGGCGAGCACTTCCTGGTTCGATTTATCGCATCCAGACCAGACGCGATAAATCGAACCAGGAAGTTCGATCCCCAGCCGCCGAACTAGCGCGGTAGTGTAGACCTGGCCTAAGTCTTTAATAGCTTCCTGGTAAGCTCTCTCTTTGTTGCTGTTTACCAGCTGTTTCATTTTGTTGCTTGTAAATGGATACAAATGCAAAGAAAAATAAATAATACTTGGAAGACACAAGTATTTATTTACATACAAAAAGATATTGTTGAACATGCCAGATCGTGGCACTCCAAAAAACGTCCCATCCCCACAAATTTTGTTTGATCTCAGGAAGAATATACAACAACAGACATGAAATTCCATAATTTCCTTTGTTTTTCAAAAGCAGCATGTATAAAATAGCCGTAGGACAATAGCTGTCAATCTTTGCTCAAGTACAGTTGAGGGTTGGGGTCTGTATTCTGCAAAGTGCTGAGTGAGTGCCCTTGGTTCCCACTGACTTCAAGCAGAGATAAGAGCACTCAAAACCCCATAGAAATGTGTAGTGTTGGTCAGATTTGAGTTCCACTGGACAAGCTGTGTGGGGAAATTTGCACAGAACAATCTTGCTTGCAATATCCCTGCCTCTAACCAGCGCTTAGTAATGCCTATACTTCATCATGAGTACCAACAATTATCCCCCACCCTAGAAGAAGAAAGACTCTGCAGATATACTCAATATCTCAAATATACTACTCTTTGTTTCTGAGGGGGGATGTAAAACCCCTGAAGCGGACAATATTTCCTTTGAAGGAAGTTAGGTATATATATTATTATATCTCATAGAACTGGAACAGACCCTGAAAGGTCATTGAATTGAGTCCAACCCCCTGCCTTCACTAGCAGGACCAAGTACTGATTTTGCCCCAGATTCCTAAGTGGCCCCCTTAAGGATTGAACTCACAACCCTGGATTTAGCAGGCCAATGCTCAAACCACTAAGCTATTCCTCTCTGAGTGAGCTCGCTCTTTTTTTCCTAACCCTAAGTAGTTAATGGTTGGCTAATGTCCTGAAGTCTGAGGGTTTTGATATTCTTTTTGAATTTTTATTCTGTCCAGTATTGCACTGGATATTCTTATTATTCACATAAATGTCTCACCCTATTTTGAATTCTACTAAGCTTTTTGCTTCAATAATATTTTTGACAGCTACTTCCTTCATAGGTTAATTACACATTGCATTAATACCAAACCATATGCTTCTTTCTGTACCATGGTATGGAGGGAAGCAACTCCATGCTATCCATGCAAAATTAGGTATGGGAGCATAAAGCAGCGGAAAGACCAGAAACTGTATCTCTTTGATTCCTTTTAGCTGCCAGGAAATCGGCACCACTTCCCCTGGGTACACACTACCTTGTTTGTGTGGGGACTTCTCATCTCAGAATTTCATTGTCAGGAAGATATTCCTGATAGGCTACATTCTCCCTTTCTTGATTTCTTCCTGCTACTCTGTTATTTTCATGTTCCACTCTAACTCTCTCTGGTGTGTGAGCACTCTAAAATACTTGTAGATTATTAGCTTGTCTTAACCTATAAAAATATTACGCAACTGTTATGTATTGCTTTTCATCTGTTGATTATAAAGCACTTTATAATGGAGGTAAGTATCATTATCCTTATTTTACAGATGAGGAAATGTAGGCAGGGAGAGATGAAATAACTTGCCCAAGGTCACACACCAGGCAATGGCAGAACTGGGGCTAGAACCCAGCTATCCTGAGTCCCAGCTGAGTATCCACTCCTTAGTGCATTCCTCATAAGGACAGCCATACTGGGTCAGACCAAAGGTCCATCCAGCCCAGTATCCTGGCTGCCGATAGTGGCCAATGCCAGGTGCCCTAGAGGGAATGAACCTAACAGGTAATGATCAAGTGATCTCTCTCCTGCCATCCATCTCCACCCTCTGACAAACAGAGGCTAGGGACACCATTCCTTACCTATCCTGGCTGATAGCCATTAATGGACTTAACCTCCATGAATTTATCCAGTTCTCTTTTAAACGCTGTTATAGTTCTAGCCTTCACAACCTCCTCAGGCAAGGAGTTCCACAGGTTGACTGTGCGCTGTGTGAAGAAGAACTTCCTTTTATTTGTTTTAAACCTGCTGCCCATTAATTTCATTTGGTGGCCCCTAGTTCTTATATTATGGGAACAAGTAAATAACTTTTCCTTATTCACTTTCTCCACACCACTCATGATTTTATATACCTCTATCATATCCCCCTTTAGTCTCCTCTTTTCCAAGCTGAAAAGTCCTAGTCTCTTTAATCTCTCCTTATATGGGACCTGTTCCAAACCCCTAATCATTTTAGTTGCCCTTCTCTGAACCTTTTCTAATGCCAGTATATCTTTTTTAAGATAAGGAGACCACATCTGTAAGCAGTACTCAAGATGTGGGCGTACCATGGATTTATATAAGGGCAATAAGATATTCTCCGTCTTATTCTCTATCCCTTTTTTAAATGATTCCTAACATCCTGTTTGCTTTTTTTACTGCCGCTGCACACTGCGTGGATGACTTTAGAGAACTATCCACGATGACTCCAAGATCTTTCCTGATTAGTTGTAGTTAAATTAGCCCCATCATATTGTATGTATAGTTGGGGTTATTTTTTCCAATGTGCATTACTTTACATTTATCCACATTAAATTTCATTTGCCATTTTATTGCCCAATCGCTAAGTTTTGTGAGATCTTTTTGAAGTTCTTCACAGTCTGCTTTGGTCTTAACTATCTTGAGCAGTTTACTATTGTCTGCAAACTTTGCCACCTCACTGTTTACCCCTTTCTCCAGATCATTTATGAATAAGTTGAATAGGA